AATTGTAAATTTAAAAATTTAATTTTTTATCATGATTAATCACAACCCTTTATTGTAAAGAATCAATGACCAAGATTGGTTAACAAAGTTAACACAATAATTTTGGTTAACATTTGAACCAACCCTTATTTATATATATATATATATATATATATGTATGTATATATATGTATGTATGTATGTATATATATATATATATGTATGTATGTATGTATGTATATATATGTATGTATGTATGTATGTATGTATAGGAGCACGTTCAAATGAAAACCGTATTTTTCTAAGAAACCGTGTAAACTAATTCGACCAATAGGAAAATTTCATTTTTTTCTAATTAAATTTAATCAATAAGGGTATTTCGGTCATTTACAATATTTTCTATTAAATATGAAAGTTATTAATAAATCTTAATTAATGAAACGTAATAAATTAATTGTATAAATGGTAACATTTAAATATTTAATTATATTATAATATTAAAAATTTGAATTTGATATATTGTTATGAGATTGAATCTACAAACGGATCTTGAAGACTGAATTGCATTATGGAATGAAATCATAAATTATGGTTCAAATTAAAAAAATAATGTTAATGAAACAGGTTTCATGAAGGTGAAACCGGTTCATGTTGTAATTGATTCATAAGTAATATGAAATCGTTTCATGGTGAACCACGTTTCAGTGATGGTGTAGTTGATCTGTTTAGTAGAAAAAATGGAACATGAAACAGGTGCATAATTTATTTGGTTCGTCATTAAAGAATTGCATGATGAAACGGGTACATGATGAATCTGCTTCGGGATCTTGAAGATTGTAATCTGCTCCAGAATCTTGAAGATTGTAAGGATTAAATGAAAGAATGCAGCAAATCATGAGTGAAATAAAAAAATTAATTTACATGAAACAGGTTTCATGAAGGTGAAACTGGGTCATGTTGTAATTGATTGATGAGTAATATGAAATCATTTCATGGTGAACCATGTTTCAGTGATGTTGTAGTTGATCCGTTTAGTAGAAAAAATGGAACATGAAACAGGTGCATAATTTATTTGGTTCGTCATGAAATAATTGCATGATGAAACGGGTACATGATGAATCYGCTTCGAGATCTTGAAGATTGTAATCTGCTCCAGAATCTTGAAGATTGTAAGGAGTAAAGGAAAGAATGCATCAAATCATGAGTGAAATAAAAAAAATTAATTTACATGAAACATGTTTCATGAAGGTGAAACTGGTTCATGRCGTAATTGAACAATGAGTGGTGAACTGCTTTCATGGTGAAACCCGTTTCAGTGATGGTGTAGGTGATCCATTCAGTAGATGAAATGAAAAATGAAACGGGTGCATATTGTAGGCGGTTCTTCATGAAATAATTACAAGATGAAAAATAAATTAGTTTCATTAATAATAATAAATGTTAACGTAAAAATGTTAACGTAAAAATAATAAATTACTTTACAAAAAATAGATTAGTTTCATTAATAATGATATACATGATATGGTTTCCTTGAATAAATGAATATTTGGTTTTACCCTTTTGCCCTTATCGGTATTATAAAATGTATTTTCAATTTCTTTTTATTTTTAATTTTCTTAAATAATCTTGATTAATTTTAACCATTGATCAATAAAATGGATTAGTAAGATTGGTTTACACGGTTTACACAAATGGAGACGATTTTTATTTGATCGCTCCTATATATATATATATATATATATATATATATATATATATATATATATAAAACTTCAATTTTAATTTATAGTTCTTTTCATTTTATTTTTTATAAGAAACAAACACCTTCTATATTCCATTAACAATAGAATCTAAACCTTTATTTATCTTACTTGCCCAGATTCCATTTTAACATTAACATTTAAAAATAAATAATACTTTTTTAATTTATTTATAATTAATAAAAAGAACTCATAAAAAATCAAAGTATTCTTCTTGTTGTCTTCTCTTTCCTTTATTCTTAAACCTGTCATCTTCTTCGTTACATATATATATATATATATATATATATATATACACCCACAATATACACTCAAAAACCACCTGCAATAAACACCTCTAGATCACAATGGACACCCTCCTGTTAGTTTCTTCCATATTTGTGCCCACCATCATCACCATCTTCTTTCTGCACCATTTTTTCATCCAAAAATCAAGCATTCCAGGCAGTTATGGCTGGCCACTCATCGGTGAAAGCATCGATTACTTCAACAAGCTTCGCAGCGGCACCAACGAGAAGTTTGTCATGCAACGAAAAAAGCTATTTGGGAACGTTTTCAAGACGTCGATCCTTGGCGAGAAAATGGCCTTCTTCTGCGGCCCTGAAGGCAACAAGTTCTTGTTCTCTAATGAAAACAAGCTTGTTGAAGTATGGTGGCCGAGTTCAGTCGAGAGTATCATCAAGAAATCGAATAACAAGTCGGTGACAGCCGAATCCGCCAAGGTCCGACAGCTGTTGCCGCCGTTCTTGAGAGCTCATGCCGTTAAAAACTATATTGCGGACATGGATTCCGAGTTGAGACAGCATTTGGAGGATTACTGGAGCGGCCACGATCAGGTTTGGCTTTCGAACGCTTATTGTTTGGCAAATTAGCTGACAAATTAGATGATAATATAAAATCACCTAAACGGAAATATATAAGGATATAATTGGAATAAAAAGTGTGAATTCCCGATAAACTATCTTTTCAAAATGCTAGCTTATTATTTACCAAACAGGGCTTTTTCAATAAGCTAGTGAACTGAATATATATAATTGAAACAAATCCTAAAACCAGGTCGAGGTTTGTCCGTTCGTCGCAAAGTACACGTTTGCATTGGCGGTAAAGTTGCTTTTAGGTGTGCGAGATGGGACAGAGTTAGAGAAGCTTGCAAAGCCGTTTGTGGAGGCCGCGGGTGGAATCATAGCGATTCCGATTAACATTCCCGGAACAAGGTTCAACCGAGGAGTTAAAGCATCAAATCAAATTAGGGAAGTCATTAACGGCATAATCGCTCAACGAAGGAAAGACCTTGCTGACGGAACCGCAAGTCCATCTCAGGATCTGCTTTCTCACATGATCGCCGAAGTCGATAAACGGAATGAGGAATCCGACGGTGCTCCCACCACCGACGGTGACATGTCTAGCGACCTGCTAGGGTTGCTCATTGGTGGCTACGACACCATCAACACCACGGTCGTGTTCATTATGATGATGCTCGTCGATCACCCCGACGTGTACCAAGCAGTCCTAAAAGGTAAAACTAACAATATGATCTCATTTTTCTTAGTCTCTCCGTCCCAAAATAAACGTTCACAATACAAGCAGTTTTAAAAATATGTAATACATCGTTGTTTCATTATATAATTAAAATAGAGCAAATGGAGATAGCGAAGGCGAAACCAACGGGCGAACTGTTGAACTGGGACGACCTTCGTAAAATGAAATACTCCTGGAACGTCGCGTGTGAAGTGCTGAGGATGCGGCCACCGACCGTTGGCGCTTTCCGAGTCGCGAAAACCGATTTCACGTATGCCGGTTTCAAAATTCCGAAAGGGTGGAAGGTATAACGATCTTTAAACCATCATCAACCCTTAATTAAACTCGATGATTAATCTCACCTAACACATCATATCCATCTGTTGTACGTTTTTGTAGCTACATTACATCCCACATTTCACTCAACGGAACTCGGAGTACTTTCCAAATCCAGAGAAATTCGACCCGTCAAGATTCGAAGGAGCGGGACCAGCACCTTACACGTTCGTGCCGTTCGGGGGCGGTGCAAGGATGTGCCCTGGCAACGAATATGCCAGGGCAGAAATACTGGTGTTTATGTATAACATAATCACCAGATACAATTGGCAGAGGTTAATTCCAGATGAAAAGGTGGTCATAGACCCACTTCCAAGGCCAGTTCATGGACTCCCAATTAAGCTCATTCCTCATAACACCATAACTTAAGTTTTATGTCATCTTAATTTGCACCATAATATATATATATATATATATATATATAATTAATGTATTTTGATTATTGTTGTTTTTACCAAACAAAATGTAAAATAAGAGGGAAATAAAATTGGTGGTGATCATTTGTTTTTATGTACATCTTTTCATTCAATATTATTAAATGTTTCCATTGTTGTCTTTGGACATGATGAACTGAGTTGGCAGTGACGGACCTAAACGAGTCGATATGGTGGTACGGACCACTGCTTCGGTCCCCCGTCGTAATGTAAAAGAAATAGGGTCGTGAAAGGTGTCACCATATCATTTTATTAGTCCGTATTTTTCAATTGTTAGTTATACATCCTTGATGTTAAATGATGCATAATGTTATCAATTTGGGTAACATATCTTGTTGTTTAAGGGGTTGTTTACTAAACACTTACCCAATAAGCGTTTACTGGTAAAATTCAACACTATCACTTACTTGCTGGGTAAGGTTTTAGTCACGACATTATATGCAACAATATACCCGGTAAGCGCTAACTGTAGTAAGAGTCGTCGCACTCATTTATCGGGTAAGATTTTTTATTATTGTCATATTCATCCGGTAAGGTAATGTGACTTAGTAAGCACTTACAATGAAATCTCAAAATTCTTAAAAACCGACTCCCCCACTAATTAATACGTCATTCAAGACATATGCTTTTGTCGCCATTTTAATTTTAAAAGTGTGCTCTGATCCTTCTTCTTTTGAACAACTATGCTGCAAAAATATGTGCATAGCTTCAAATGTGTTCGATACAAGCAATTTTGGGATGTCAAACTTGTTTGAAAAACCTTGTTGACTAGAAGCAACATGAGCAAGATACGACAACGATATCGGTTTTATAGGACACCAATCTTAGACTGGTTCATAGAACTTATGTTTATAATACTGAACAGTTGTGTGTCATACCTAAAATGTTACAATAAGTTGATACAACATTTTTTGGCATCCAAATCTGTCTTGTAACACTTTAACAGAAGACACAGAATTGTTTGCATTGTTCTATTAATATAAATCCTATAAAACAGTGTATTAAAATATTTATACTTGACGTCCTGGAAAGCCGACTTTGCAGAGCATTCCCCACAGATTTCTAAAATAAAAATCTGTTGTCCTCAAATTCGCTGTACCACCAATCATGTGAAAGCACTTCGTTAATTATTTCATGTAATATGAATTTATCTAATTGATCTTTTTTATTCTTTATCCTCGATAAATGAATGATGTGATTTCATGTGATTGATGGACAGACAGAGGACAACAAATTTGTATTCTATTGCAATTACATTTAC